CCTTTTAAAAGAAATGCCCGGCACCACATGGCAAATACATTTCTTTAATTGATGTTTGTCAAATTCGATTTCCGCACATTTCGCGTACATAACCACGATATAATGGTCGAACATTACGTACATCAGATAAACTATTTTTAAAGCCCAAAACTGTTCAACTAGTCTCTTTTAGTTATCAAGCACCTGTTTTATGGGATAATCTACCATTTAGTTTAAGATGTTGTACATCTCTATATTCTTTTAAAAAACAACTTAAATCACATTTATTTAATGAGGCTTTTAACTGACTCTGTATACAATTGTTAACATGTCCATAATCTTGTTGTTTATTTATGATTACATTGTCACTTTGTAAAGTGCCCCTGAACATGTTTTATGAAAGGGCGCGCTATAAATATGCTGTAATAATAATAATAATAATAATAATATTACCAAATTTGGCGGCCATTATGAAAGAAACGCCCGACACCATATAACAAATACTTCTTTTTTTTAATTTGACGTTTGTCAAATTCGATTTTTCGGCACATTTCGCTTGCATAACCACTCTGTGTTTGAGGAATTTAAAAAGAAATCATTTATAATCCAACGAGTAAATAGTAAAACACACTGATTACGAGATATCGCTCTCAGAAAATTCCCCGATTTTGGGTATGATTTTGTTTGATATATTTATCACTGAACCAAACTGCATTGGTTTCTTTTGCATTTTTTTTTAGGGTAAAACGTTATATTATCCCTCAACGCCCAATACTGCAAGAAAAAAACAAATTTTGGTATGTAAACCTGTATGAAGCCATGACGTCATAGCTTTTATGGCGTCATAATTGGGACCCAAAATGGCGCCTGGAAATGAGTTGTCGTAACTTTCCCACAGTCTACTCACTCATGTGCTCATCGTTGTATACCAACTATCGTTGAAAAAATCAATTTACGTCGATTTTTGAACATTTTAAAAGCCGTAGTTCGATTCGGCGCCCAAGAAAAGATATAAATATACACCAAAAACATGGCAATCAATCAAGTTGAAGCGTTTTGGCGTAAAACATCTGTTTAGGCGAGATGACGTGTTTTTGGTGTACATGAGTAAGCAATAATGCTACCTGACTAAAATACCCCCCACCCCTCTTGCATTCGCATGTAGTCATACATATGAGTCTCAAAGTAATATAATATATTGTGAAATTATGCTCTTTTGAACTCCCCCGCCGCCGCCCCCTGCTCAATGAGTTATTTTACTTTTATTCTGCCATCTAAATAACTCTATACCCATGACTGGTGTACCAAGTTAAATCCACATCAAAACCCCATTTGTCGATAAGTGTATTTATAATAATCACTTGAACATCCTTGGAGAATTATATCTATTTAGTGAATATTAATACCAAAGAAAGAAAACAACTCTAAATTCTGAATATAAAGTCATCAAATTCTTTTACAGATCTTATTGTGGAAACCCAAAAGTTATATGTCACCATTGCCTTTTTAATCACATATTTGTTTTTAATGTCAAATACCAAACCATCTCTAATATTGTTTCATTATATAGAATGCAGTGTAATCCTAAACACTAAAGATTTGGCCTGAAAATTTGAAATAATATAGAGAGGGATCATCAGTAATTAATAGTAACATTCGATAATTATAAAAATGTATTATTGTAGGATGAAATCAACCTTTATTTTTAAACATTTAGTGAACATTTCGAATGTTAATGCCTCTTTTATATAAAATGGTTTTATTAATTAATCAATTTTTGTTTTACAAATTTTTAATTTTTTCCATTTTGTTTGATTTTTATGCTATATTTATTTTATCTATCTATAATTATTTGCCTGTGCTTTATCTATTAGTTCCCATTTATATACTGTAGAAAATTTTGAATTCCTAATCTGTTAAAGGGACTATTTTTTCTTAAAAGTATTTCAATTTAGTGCATTATTAATGTCTTTAGTGCTTGGTTTGGTTGATATTAAATTTAGATATATTTAAAATGTATGTTTTGGGACCATGGGGTAGGGATATTGTGAACATATATATTATATTCTCAGTTCTTTTTAAGGTTAATTGTAAAAAAAAATTAAATAGCTTTTTTTGAGGGGTGGGGGGATATTGTTATTATTGAACACAATTTTATTAGTATTGAAATTAACATTTTTGATTAATATTCCAAATGTCTCGGTGCTTTATTTTTCAATTTAAATAGCTACTTTTTATTTAATAATTGGGAATGGGGGGGGGGTATTTTTTCATTGTATAACACAATTTTATTAGTATTGGAATTAACTTTGTTTATTAACCTTCGAGATGTCTGTATTGGTATTAATTAGGCATTAATTTATTTTTTCATATAATTTATTGAATAAATAATAATTTAACAAACAAAATTATTATGTCATTTATCAATAATTACAGTTTAAACAGAACGAATGGAAGGGGTTGCATTCGAAAGGTTGTTATACTGGATATAAATTGGTAAAATACAACACAAGTTTTTGTTATACACAAGTTTGTACGAAACAACACAAGTTTCAGAAATTTCAACAAACAAGTTTCAGAAATTTCAACACAAATAATGTGTAGATTTTCACACAAGTTTTGTGTTGTTTCAACATTTAACACAAGTTTTGTGTTGTTTCAACATTTAACACAAGTTTTGTGTTGTTTCAACATTTAACACAAGATTGTGTTGTTAAATAGAGACACCTAACTTGTGTTGAAAATAACACAAGTTTGTGTTGTTTCAACACAAGTTTTTTTTCAGTGTATGTTTAAAAACTAATAAGTTAAGTAAAACAGTCCAGTAGGTTTTGCTGCATTGAAAAATCATTTTAGTAACACTTTTTCAACAAGCAATTGTTATACTTTTAGTGATTTGTAGAGCGTCGAATCATAATGTTATTGTACTGTTTTAAATTGTAGATTTTATTCATTCATGAAAAACATTTATTACAATTTTATAATAAAATGTATAAAACACTGAGTTCTAGATTCAAATCACAAATCCACCTAAGCTAGAAAACTGCAAATCCGAATATTTTTGTTTATAAAATATTCACTTTCCATTCAATAAATAATCCAGTCATCTAGTTTTCGATTTGGGGAAATTCATTCTCCTTTTCCCATAAATACAGATCGCCGTATTATTTAAAAATCAAACCAAACAGCATGTAATCAAAGAACGCTTGTATCCGCCATATGTAATATTGTCACGTGACATTGTTATGTTTTGTTTCGCTTGGGAAGCGTTTATTATATTATAGAACTCCAGTGTAGTAAGCCATAACTATGAACAATATCATGTCCCAAATAAATAATCTAATTTGTAAATCTGCAATTGGTCACATGATGGTCCGAACATTATTTGTATGGCTATATTTGTTGACAGCAAAAACAGCTAATAATTATCTTGGATAAAATACCTCGTTTAGTTTACCCAGCCTCGTTCTGAACAAAATACCTCGTTCCAGAAACAGGGCAATTTTAAAAATCACTTTTTGGATCTCCAGACAAACGTGGTATTTTTTTTTACCTCGTTACAACGTGGCAAAATCGGGGCAAAAACTTTGACACGTTTTTGCCTCGTTTGGACAGAAATGCCGAACGAGGCATTCTGAGGTTTATAGTGTAGTCTAGTTTCTGTAGTATTCATGTAGTTGTCTTATATTCTGTTCCTATGTAAATAAATCCTATATTTACGAAACTGATCTCTGTTATCACTAAGTGTAACATTTCTTTCAAAATGCCTGTCAAATTTAAAATTGCATTTTTCGACAAGACCAGCGATAATCTCATAAGATGTGACTTTTACTGTATTTTAAATGGTTTTCGGCGAGTGCCGAAGTCGTGAAACGCGCCGTCGTGGGGTTTGTTCGGGCCTGTCTCCCCCAAAAAATTTATTACAAGCTGGAAAACGCGTTTTCTTGCCAGGCCGTAAATACGGCAACCTGAAAGTGGTCCATTTTAATGATGACATCCGAATTTTAATCAACAAATCAATCAATCAGGCTGTGGTCGTTGCATTCAGATGACACCAGAAGTGTCACTGATGAAACAAATATGCCCGAAACACATGTCGCGGTTAGTTCGACCCATTTGTGACAATTTCTAGGTCCCAAATATTAGCGATTTAGCTCCTTTAAAAGCGAATGCATGTTAAATATGCTTAATAGTGCGTTTATCTGGTGTATCTTTTATTTTGATTTTTCTTATAGAATAAGGCTATATGCGCTTTTTGTTGTATAATACTAATAATAATATGTTCAGTTACACTTCTCGTTTAAAAAATGTATGTTTTATCTCCTATAGACACGTATTCGCGGAAATCTATGACATATTTATCCACATCCCTGTTTGTCTGGGCAGCCAACAATATAATAGGCATATAAATAGATAGTGAGTTAGTAGAGTTACTTGGGACCCACGATGGCGTCTTTGTACACTAAGACTTGACTTCATATTTGCATGACGTCATATGAAATTCCTGGCTTTACAGTCGTCGGAACTTTATATAATATACGGCTTTGCTCCGCTTTTATCTGGTGTCACATGGTCGTCGAAGTACGCTTCAACACCTATGCATAAGTTAGGCATAAGTTAGACTAACGTTGTGCATGAGTCAATTAAGTACGCTAAAAATTCGCTGGGCACACGCTTTCATGCTTGTATAAGTTCTGTTTACGTTGGGGATAAGTTATGAATAAGTTACTCATACGTTAAACATAGGTTATATATTCGTTCAGCGCGTTAGATGTACGTTATATATGCGTCCAAAGGGAGCGTCCTCTTCATTTTAAATTCAGCTTCAGTGTATGCCAGCGTGTTGGATAATTATTTCATACGCCGGAATAAGTTTCTAAAACGTTATAGCGTGACAGGCCCATAACATGACTCTCGGGTTTTCTCCGACTTACCAAATATAAGTCTATATAAGTCTCTCGAAAAGACCTAGTTGTGTTGACGGGGCGTTACATTTTCTATTAATATATTCCATTTCTCAGGTAACCCAGGTACCATAGAGCTGACCAGAGTTCCAGATAAATCAATTTATGACGTTGGTGATACGTTATCAGTAACGTGTAGTGGCGAAGTTGGAAATCCCCCGCAGTCCTGGACATGGGAATCAAAACTAGCCCAGTCTTCCGTTTTTAAAGCAATAATAGAAAATCTAACAGAAGGTCAGGTAGTTCCATCCTCAACTAGTGGGTGTGATTATAATTCTACGAGTGTGTTGACTTACTCTGTTACTGACATTAATAATGGTACTGAAATAAGATGTCGTGTTGGTACGTCACAGCTGTACGCTCTTAGTACAATCATCTATGTAAAAGGTAAGTAGTCTTAGACTTGCATACCGTTGGACTTCGATGACAAACTATTTCTCCTACATCGACCCCTCACTCTCAAAATTAATAATAAATGTCATGCTCGCATCCTGCTGTAGTGGAGGTCACGTTAATACCGGAAGTTGAGGATGTCACATAACCGGTCACTTTTCCAACGAATCTACATGGTACGCTACCTAGTTCTTTGTCACGACTACATTGCTAAAGGATCTGTAATTCAAGTGATGTATCTTGGTGGTACACTTATTTCCTTTCAAGACGCCTACACGTGATGCTTATTTGATGATTTTGTGTTGAAAATGGCTGATAACCCTGGTTTAAATATACAACTTGGCGGAGACACATCCTGGCTTTGGTTCATGATCAATGAAGTGTAAAAGCGATTAGAATGAAATGGGATTTAATGTCCTACTTTTCTGTGCCGACTGGGTTAACGAAGGCAGACATACTCCACGCGATGTGCTTGGGTGCTATGACGGAAATTTTGTCCGGACAGCGACGCTACGACCTACTCTTGTTTTGAATTCCAACTGTCAAGGGTTATTTTTTAAGTGCACGGCAATATTTACACTGGACTTCGGTATTTCGTCCCTTTGTTCATATATATAGTGTATAGTTTGTTGAAAATGATCAATTGGCGTGAAGAGAGGCGTTGTGTTGAAATAAAACCACGTATATAATTAGATCGGCTTAACAATGTTAATTATTGCGTTGTTCTTATTTTCCAGCTGAAACCACTGAAGATGTTCAGAAAAGATGGCTACTTGCAGACATTGAGCGGATCAAGTTAGAACAACAAAAACTGAAATTGCAAATATCGTGTTTAACACAAAATACAACAAACTGTAACTGTGGTGGTAATTAGTTGTACACGACCAAACTGTAACTGTGGTTGTAATTATAAAATTAGTAACATATATATTCATGTCAAAATAATATACACGACCATACTGTAACTGTGGTTTCAATTATTTACACATATTCCTACAGCTGGGGCAATTACTACCTAAATATCTACCTGGTTCCTCAAGAAAAAAAGAAAAAGGGAGTGGGGGGGTTATTGCCGAATGGTTAGCACGTGCGCGCTGTATCACATGGTCTGTCATTGCGTTGGGGATCACGTGGCTAAGTGGGTAAGACGCTAGCTCGCTAGCCTGGAGGTCGGGTGTTCGATCCTTGCATTGGCCGAGAAAGTTCATCCAGATTTTCCGGCGTGGTTCTCCCTTGTCAGTGATGCAGGACGGAGGGGCTGACAAGGAAAGCTGTCTAGTCGTTCGGATGCGACGAAAAACCGAGGTTCCGTGTACACATTGGCGTGCACGTAAAGGATCCCTTGGCAGTTGGAATTCGATATAAGAGTAGGCCGTAGTGCCGCTGTCCGGGCAAAATTTCCCTCATAGCACACTGTATGGCGTATGCCCGTCTTCATTAGCCCAGGTTAGGAGCAGAACAGTAGGACGTTAAACTCCATTTCATTTCATTTCTGTCATTGAGTCAACTGGCGCGGTTTGTCCGTGTCAAGGAGTAAGGTCGCCTGTCCATTCTCGTGGGTTTTCACCGGGTCCTCCGATTTCCTCCTACTGCTAAAGACCCCCTACGCGCAAGCGAATTATTGAAATAAAAATTTATCCATATGTTAGGCCCAAAATGACCTAGTTTGTGTGTCTCTCTCTCAAGGAAAAGATGCCTTTCCACGTACAAACTGTGTGATTTGCTGATATATTTGGACTAAAACACTATTTAAACTAATATTTCTCAAATGTTTTCTTCATATCACCCTAAACAAGTTTTAAGCCGAAAAAAAAACACTCCCTGACGCGAGAATATATTGTTTTTTTATCAACCTCGTTTTCCACGTGACTTGATCGGGGGTGAATCAATTGTGAGCTTTATTTGTCGTTAGTCGATATCCGTTTACCATAAATATCGAAGTAAATTCCTGGATTATCCTCTGCTAACTCATTTTCCCGCCGTTTAAACGCAGAGTCTACTGGTCGGTTAATTATCTCAATGTTCTCACAACCGTTAGCAATTACATCAACACATAAGAATCGATCCCTACGTCAATCGTGGAGGGACACCGGGGTCTCGTGTACACATTGACGTCAAGTAAAAGATCCCCTGGCAGTTGGAATTCGATATAAGACGAGGCCATAGTGTCGCTGCCCAGGCAAAATTTCCCTCATAGCATATTGTATGGTGTATGCCCATCTTCATTAGCCCAGTCGGAGGGGAACAATGAGACGTTAAACCCCATTTCATTAATTTTAATCGATTTATGCTGTTCGCTTTGTAATAAGGCAACCCACGCATTTTTACTTTAATTTAAGGCATCGCGGCATTCATATTTCTTGTTCAGAAAATATAAACCAATCCTAAGTCCTTCAAACATGTCTAGGCAGAGATAAACACTTTGATTGCTCCTAATTTGAGGGAACCTCGTGGGTTTTCTCCGGGTCCTCCGGTTTTTTCAGTACTAAAGCGAATTATTGAAATATAATTGAACCATATGTTTGTTTCAAAATGCTGAGCTATTGTAGCGATGTCAAGTCGACACGCCTTGCATAGTTTAGTTCTGGTTTACATTTATTGTTATGGTTCTCTCTGCTTTAAAGCTGAACTCCGATTACATAACTACAGAAATAATCAAATAAAAAAAATTAACACCCTAAATAATCGCCATACTTGTTTTCAAGTTGTAGAACAATCATGGACGATTTAAGGCGCACAAAAACAAGAGGCAGGCCACGCTCCCATCCAGTTCACGCCTTGTCAACCACACTGTCCACATCCGGCTAGCAATATTTCAACTGCCAATTACCTCCTGACTGATTGGCGTATTTGCACTAACAGTTTACTGAAAGTATTATTGCTACCTAATTATTATATCTGATCAGATGCATATTATTTTACTAATTAGACGAAATAAGTAAACCACTGTGCACTTTTGCTCTAAAAATAAGAAACAACTACCTTACCCCAAATAACAACAAATCTACCAACAACATCAACGAATTCTATGTTGTTGACATAACATCAAGGGACATAACTACTTCACAAGATGGTGAATATTTTGAAGTGAAAACATTCTTCTTTGATGGAGAGAACAGCAGTTTTATTGCTGCTTTGGATACATTTTTGAACGATAATACTAGACTTTATAATACTAGAAATTATATGGTGTTTCCACGCTGTTGTACAAAACATTTCAAGAAATAAGAAAAAAATTGTTTGTGTTGGTAATTTTGTTATTGTTTGGGGTAAGGCAGTTTTTCTCATATTTTTTAGAGCAAAAACACACAGTGGTTTACTTATTTTGTCTAATTAGTAAAATAATATCTACCTGATCAGACATAATAATTGTGTCGCAATAATATTTTCAGTAAACTGATAGTGAAAAAACTTCAATCAGTCAGCTGAGATATTGCTAGCCGGATGTGGACAGTGTGGTTGACAAGGCATGAACTGGGTGTGGCCGTGGCCTGCCTCTTGTTTTTGTACGCCGTACAATCGTCCATGATTGTTCTACAACTTGAAAACAAGTATGGCGATTATTTAAGGTGTTAATTTTTTTTATTTAATTATTTCTGTAGTTTTGTAATCGGAGTTCAGCTTTAAATACTAACGCGGTTTGAATATATTGGTCTGATTACCGATGTCCATTATTGTAGTAACCTCCCTTGTTAGTCGAGATTGTCAAGTCTCTTGTATTTAGGTAGCACGTGGAGTAGACGCTAATAAAGATGGGGATGAACTGTTATCATGTTGTTTTATATTTATATCATTATTCTCTGGGTCCGGTTAACCTGTAACACCGATACGAGTTACGAAAGAGTGGACCATGTGGACAGGAGCCCTGTGGTCGTAACATATGGTGGAAATGCCGAAGGTTATGGTGGAAATGCCGATGGTTATGGTAGAAATTACGATGGTTTTATAAATTTTGCTACTTTTTTTGAGGCCACCGCTGGTTTGAGTGATAACAAATTGGCTACCGGTGGAAATATAAAGATTGAGAGTTTTTTGGAACGCCAAATGAAGATGCTCGAATATGGCTGAACCGATTCCAGGCATGGGTCGTTTTACAAAGTATCCGAAATGAACTAATCGGTGCTGCAATGATGTTGTTACTAATGTTACTCCAGGGAGAAGCGCCGCTGTGGTTCAATGGTTTGGCCGAACAGGTGAAATTAAATTCTGCTCGTGTCTATCACCATTTTATGGAACATTTTATTGCGAGACAGACAGCTAGTTCATGGTTGATTGAACAGCAGTTATGGTGTCGAACCATGCGTGATCAAGAGAACTTAGAAACTTAACATTATTGACATAAATTCAAAGTGCTTGAAAGGCTTCGATACCAACGCTTCGGGATCAAAATCAGATTATGGAGGAAGAGAAATTTAAATTGGGAGCTGTTGCCCCAACATTTTTAGTTGGTGACACGGTATTTTTCTAAAAACATGTTTTAAAACTTTTAGTTGGACAGACTAGATGGCTACTTAGGCCTTGGCCTGGTACGTATTATATAGTTTTAAAAAAACCCCAAAAAAACCGAAAAACTCTGTAATGTAGAGTACATGTGAAATTGCACCACAAACGTGACGGACACCAGGAGTTATCTCGCGAATCGTAACCAAGTATATATTCCCGGCGCTTTTAGCAAAGCGTGATCTTTTCTTGAGACTTTTTTTCTATTTCAAAACGAAAGCTTGTGACAGAAACCCATGATAAAATACCTATCTGGAAAAGACGATGGATGAAAATTGTTTTGTGTTCCTAATGTCTTGTATTGTACTGTTAATTTAAAATACGTTGTAAATGATGTTTTAGGGAGGCCTATGTTATTTGAAGAATGGTTTTGATGTTACATGTGCTATTTATGATTGTTCAAGTTGAGTACTTCACAAGCTTTATTTATGATATTAAGTGATAATTTGATCATAAATTTACAAAAACTTCGAAATTATATCTAAATATAAAGTGCCCAAATAAGCTCTACTTGTTAATCTGATAATGTTTACAATGTTAGTTGTGAAAATAACATTTAACTATGCACACTGTACAGGTTGATATTTGTGAAAATTAGAATGAACATACAATGTAGTGTAGTAGTATTATGAGACGTAAAGGGATGATGGCATAACTTGTGTACTCTGTAGGATTCTTGGATAACCCATTATTCCACTGGTTTATAGTAAGCCACAACCTGTTATAATATAACTGTCACCCGCTGTAGATACACCGTAAAAATGTTAATAGTTGATTTTGTATGTTATATTATTTGAAAGTGTTAAGTTTAACTCTTTATAGTTCTGATATGTTAATATTAACCCCTTGAATCCTAAAATTATTGTGAATGTTATCACGTTCATTGTTTCTACTTTATACGTTATTTTGTATCGATACTTATCACATCATATGAGATATTGTTAGACCTGTTATTTGCACTTTATGCCTGATCAAAATGAATGCCATTTCCAGGCTTTGAAACGAACGACTGTCTTACAGCTTCGTCATTCGGGTGTAACTCATAATTTTGAGGCGAGGGTGATGTAGCGATGTCAAGTCGACACACCTTGCATAGTTTAGTTCTGGTTTACATTTATTGTTATGGTTCTCTCTCCTTTAAATACTAACGCTGTATGAATATATTGGTCTGATTACCGAAGTCCATTATTGTAGTAACCTCCCTTGTTAGTCGAGATTGTCAAGTCTCTTGTATTTGGGAAGCACGTGGAGTAGACGCTAATAAAGATGGGGATGAGCTGTTATCATGTTGTTTTATATTTATATCATTATTCTCTGGTTACGGTTAACCTGTAACACCCCTACGAGTTACGAAAGAGTGGGCCATGTGAACAGGAGCCCTGTGGTCGTAACATATGGTGGAAATGCCGAAGCTTATGGTGGAAATGCCGATGGTTATGGTAGAAATTCCGAAGGTTTTATAAAT